ACTACTTACTACTGCTCTACTATTGTATTACTACTGGTATTACTGCTACTACTTATTTATATCAATCAATATTTAATAGCTTCATTCCTAATAATATAATTATATCAATCTATATTTAATAAGGCAACTTCTAGGAATATCATTCATATCAATCAATATCTAGTAATATAATTTCTAATAATATTAATCATATCAATCAATACTTAATAATATTATTTCTAGGAATATTATTCATATTAATCAATATCTAATAATATAATTTCTAATGATATTAATTATATCAATCAATACTTAATAGGAATATTATCTTCTAGGGAAGTCGCGCCTATCATAATCATCGTATATCATTCAAAAATATCATTATATAATAAATCATTTACATCAATCAATATTCATTAATATAATTCTTAGGATATTCATCAATTACATTCAATATTCAATTCCATAATATATAATTAATTTTAATAATAATTATATCGTTTCAACTTTATTAATATATATCATACAGAATTTCTAAATTCAACTCATCATTTTAACAATATCATTTCTAGGAATATTATTTATATCACAAAGTGTAATTATATATCATACAGTAAAAATTATTATATTTCAAAATTATTCTCAGAATACTTTTATAATTCTATCAATATCTCTAATTTCATAGAGTTCGTGAAGAATCTAATATCAACTTAATAAATAATGCCATACGACTAATTCAAATAATAAATAATTACATAGTAATATCATATCATTCTAATATATCTTATATTCAAACACAATATTTACAATATCTTTTAATCCCACTTTTTTCTTCCACAGACTAATATACAAATATAAATATAATATAATAGAAATATATAATAATATAATTCTAATATTAATCTATATCAATCAACATTAATAACATCAATATCCAATAAAATAAAACTCTTTATACATAATATAAATATAATAATTAATAGAAATATAAATCAAGAATACTAATAATCTATCATCAACAATTTAACATCAATATCAATAAGCCTTTTAATCTTTCACGACTAATATAAATATATCTAATAAAGATATAACTAAGTTATCTTTTATCAATCAACATTTAATAACATTAATATCTCAATAATCTTTTTAATCTCACTTTTTTTCTTCACACAGATAATAATACAAATATAAATAATATAAATAATAATAGAAAATATAATAATATAATTCTCTATATATCTACATCAATCAACATTTAATAACATTAATATCCAATAATCTTATTTTAATCTTCTTACTTTTCTAATAATACAAATATAAAATAATATAAATAATAATAGAAATATAATATTAACTATTCTAATATATCTTAATACTTTATAACATCAATATCCATCTTTTCCAACATTAAATAACATAATATGAAATAATAATATAATAATTCTAATAATTCCAATATTATATTTAAACATAACATCAATATCCATAATCTTTTTTATCCTTTTTTTTCACACAGACTAATAATAAAATATCAATAATATAAATAATAATAGAAATATAATACTATAAATTCTAATATTATCTATATCAATCAACATTTAATAACATCAATATCCAATAATCTTTTTAATCTTACTTTTTTCTTCACAAAGACTAATAATACAAATATAAATAATATGAATAATAATAGAAATATAATAATAATATAAATTCTAATATTATCTATATCAATCAACATTGAATAACATCAATATCCAATAATCTTTTTAATCTTTTTAATCTTACTTTTTTCTTCACACAGACTTCGTGGACTGGTACAGCGGCTGGCACTCGCGGCTGGCCCTCTGCATCGCCCTCTTCGGCGCCGTGGCCAACATCCTCACAATGACGACCCTCACTCGCAAGAACATGGCCACGCCCACCAACCTCATCCTCGTAGGCCTAGCCGTGGCGGACTTGATGGTCGTCCTCGAGTACGTTCCTTACGCGGCTTCGAAGCTCCTCGGGGGGCAGCAGCTGAAGGAGTCGTGGGAACACGCGCTCTACGTCCTGGTCCACGCGCACCTGTCGCAGGTGTGCCATACGGTGAGTCGGGGCGGGGGGAAGGTGGGGGGGGGGGGGAGTGGGGAGTCGGAGCTGGGGGGGGGTGAGGGGTATGGGGAGTAGGAGGGGGGTCTGGTTTGATTTGTTTGTTTGTGTTTTTTTTTGTGTTGATTTGTCTGTCTGTTTGTCTATCTTTCTTTATGTCTGTTGAACTATCTTCTCGTTTATCTGGCTATCGATTTAACTGATTATATATTTATCTTACTATCAATCTATTTGGCTATCTACTTACATATCTGACTATCTATCGACTTAACTATCTATTTATCTATCTATCTCTCTTTTTAACTATGGAATTATCTGTCTGTTATCTCTTTCTCTATCGATCAGTTTGTCTATCTATCTATTTATCTGTCAAGCTATCTATCTATCTGTCAATCTATCTATTACTCATATATTACTGTCATTATAATAATTT